GAAGGCGCCGGTATGCCTGATAGACGGAGGGAGAGAGAGAGAGAGGGAGAGAGAGAGAGAGACAGAGACAGAGAGACAGAGACAGAGACAGAGACAGAGACAGAGACAGAGAGACAGAGACAGAGACAGAGACAGAGACAGAGACAGAGACAGAGACAGAGACAGGGCGTCCATGGTTGCCGCGGACCGGCCTGCATCCTCTCCTGCCGCGATGCCTCTGTGAAGCACCCCGGAGCCCAAAGTCATCTAGCTCCCGACCCTTTGCGCTCAATGGAGGACCCGAACCGTCTTGTTCGTGTTTCTAAGACTCTTCTCCATTGAAGACAGACTATGCCTTGGATCCCTCGAGATTGCCGCTGCGTGAGAACCCTGGCCAATGAGAACTCACACCAACCGCAAACTCTCAAGCCTAAACTCTTGAATCCAAAAGTGTCAGCTTCCATGAACTCGGGACCAGTCGTTGATGTCTGTAGGACGAACAGTTAAGAAGTTGCAAGTGACATGAAGAGGCTCTGAAGCAGAAAGTGCCCGGCTCTTTGCTCACGGAAGTCACGATAACGGAGCATGAAGCACCTGTTCGACTCATCTCCGAGAAACCAAAACAGAAGGATGCTGCGGGCGCGCACTCAAGGGAAGGCAATCCGCCCGGAGGCAGAGTGAGGGGTTGCTTTCTGCTCTCTGGACCTTGGACCGGACTTCTGCTCTCGGCTGAAGCTTCCCCGTGGAAAATTCCAGGTCCCTCGCCTATGAAAGACGCCCTGCAAACTCGCCTCGGCGCCCAGAGCTTGCATATTCAAATCGCAGATCTTCCAGGAAAGCGATCATGCTGTGAGCCGCGCAGCGTCTTTCCACACGACCCTGATAGAGCTGCTGTCAGGACCTGTGTCTATGTGTGCTCGAGTGCTTGAGTGCAGTGGGCTGTCCTGCCTCCGTGGAGCGGAGATCAACAAGCACGAGCTCCTCCAGACTCCATAGACACGTCACTGTTTTTCTGAGAGGCCTCTCTCCGACTCCGTGAAACACAAAACCGTCATGCGGGCGTCCTGCAACTGGGAGAACTCCAACAAGGCCCCGAGCCTCCGCAACGGAGAACTGCAGGCCTTCCCTGCCCTGGCCTACCGTGTCCCGCCGCGACAGCTGCGGCGAGGCGCAGTTGTGCCACCTCTGAGAGCAGCTTAGAAAGCCCTCGAAATCTGCAGCTCGATGCAGCTCGGAGCTGGGCTGCTGCAAGGAAGAGACGGAGCGCTCCTGTGAGGAGAGCAAAAGACAGCCCAATCAAAAACGACCGCCAGTCCGTCAAAAAACACAACACTTTTTTCCGAAAAATACACCCTCTCTGCACTGTCACTGTGCGGCATTGACAGCTTCAAACAAATTCGTTACGGCTGACTGGGCTTAGGTAGTCGTGTTTCTGCCAGGGCTCTGCTGGAAAGGAAACGGCAAGTGATCGCAGGCCGCGAAGCCTGCATGAACTGCACTGCAACGTAACTGCGCCAAGTCAGCAGTTGAGGCCACCACTGTACAAATGGATCACCCGTGTGCTCTGTGCGCTGGCCTTGCTCCCACAATGCCTGGCTGAACGAACATCATCTCAGCTGAAATCTGAAGGACTACCAACCTGCAAGAGCCGCGACCAAGCAATGTTTCCCATGTCCTCGACAGTTAAAGTTGCAGATCCGTTCTGGAAGAGCCACCACTTAGCATGCTGAAAAGTCTCCATGGAGAGTGTCTCCAAGCTTGGCCAGTGTAAGGAAGATGCTACCGCCTGCGTGCGCAGCCAGACAAAAGCAGTCTGCTCCTGCCCTCATGCTCATGCCTGGGCAGCGCGTGGTGAGAGGCTCTGGGCAAGGCCACACAGATGATGCAGCCTGAAACCATGAACGGCCAGGAGCATTTGATTGGTCGTAAAGGAGGCTGTCAAAGGTCAAGACAGTGTCCTTGGCTTGTCCTGTCAAGCAGGCCATGGGTCCTTGCATACGGCAGCCTTGCATCACGTGACATGTGTCGGATGTCCTCATCGACGGCAAAGAACTGACTGCCTGGGCAAATAGCAGGCCGACATGCCCAGGGCGTTCTGTTGAAAGTCAGAACGCCCGTTCGAGGTTAGGACACAACTGTGCCGCCGCTGCTGGCGAGGCCGAAAGCCAATGCCTCGGTGTGACCGTGCCTCTGCACTCTGATGCACTATGAGCTCTCTATGAACTGACTGGAGTCTGCGCATTTTTCGTGCACGGCCAAGCGCATGTCGCATGTCCCCATACAATCGAAACCAACACAATTTCACAGTGAACACGGCGCTCTGGAATCTTGCACGCATGCTACCCAGTTAATCTGCTCATGTCTGAGGCTATGAAGTTGATTGTTCAGCCTGGCACGGTCTGCAACGAGGACCTTCGCTGCAACAAAGGCCACGCCGCTTCGGCGCTCTGCTTTGCCTAGTGCTCTCGCCTCTTCCGTGCTGTCATCCCGCCGTTCTTGCACCACCTCTACGAGTATGTATTAAACAAGAAGCATAAGGACAGGTCCTCATCTGGGTGTGTTCGCGGAACTAAAAATCGATGGCGTGCACGAGGTCCCCTTTTCCCCCCAATCTCTGGTGCCGCGGGCCTAAGAATGTGCCTGGGATGTGGTGCAGGTTCCTCAGAGATCCTCAGAGCCTGTGAGTAAAAAGCCGCAAGCCATCCCTGGTGGGGGCGAGTGATACCTGCCGACCCCAGCGACAAAGCCAAAGGTGCGCAAGAACCGCATTGCTCGCGGACCTTCTTCAAGGACAACTTTCTGTGCCACCGAATGTTGTGCAAGGCATTAACATGCTTGCGAACTATGATGAGCTTGTCTATGATTTCCCAAGTGGTGGTGCCGCTGTCTGTCCAATGCAGGCTTGCGTGGTCTCCTGCACCCGTGTGTGGCTCGCGGAATAAACCGGGCTGTGGCAGCGCTGGCTTCCGCCAAGGCCTTCATCGGAAGGGCGGACGCAAGCCTGACGACGGGACGGGACCAGAGGACTTAGCAGGCAGGACACGGACAGGCCAACAGCACAAAGAAGTCAAAGGTCGAAGTGTAACCCGCGCTGCGGGCCAAGGCTGTACCGGTCTATCCCATCCAAACACTACCGATTTAGCCGACAGCTTTGCAGGCCATCTCCTCAGAAATAGGGTTGCAATAGTTCATCGAATTGCTGCATCCACGTCTCGTGAAAATACTGCGCGAACCAAAACGCGAGACAGAAGGTGGCCTGGAGAACCGACTCAATGAGGGGCCCCCAAAGGTTCACGATTTGCTGCTCAGTCATGGCTCACCTAGGCTTCTCTCATCTTAGCCGTGTGACCCTGAACGTTCAAACACGCCCCCACGAGGCCCGCACTGCAATTTCGTTTTTTTGTCAGCAGGCGCAGCGCTTCCGAAGCTCCGGAGAAACAGACCGTGGCGTTTGTCAGGTTTGGTTTTTGCAATGTTTTTCCACCCCGGCTTTTGGCCTTGGAAGCCGCATTGTTGCCTTATGGTCGATCTGTGTGGCAGGAACTTCCGGCGCATTGCACCAGTTCGGGCGTGTGTATTGGAAAGGCTCGTCAAACCTGAACAGGCACGCTATGATTCTGTGTGCAGTTCTAGAGAACCGATCATGGTTTTTTCATGCGGATTAAGCCATGGAAGTCATCATGGTTGGGCCATCGATGCTCTCCGCTCAGAGCGAGTAAGACCATGGGCCATGGACGCTATCATACGCTATCTTCTCCAGAGCGAATTAGACCTGCGACGTCATCATGGTTGAGCCATGGATGCTCTCTTCTCAAAACGAAATAAACCTATTTGACCATGGACGATGAGGTCCCGGACAGTTTATGGTATAGCACGTGAACCTGCACGGGTTGGATTTTTCCCGTGTGGCACCTTTGCCTTTGGGCTTTGGGGCCTGCTGGTTCTTTACCCTCGGCTGGGAGCCAAAGCTGTGCCTATCGCTGGAAGGAGCGAGAGTCTAAGACAGGCTGGACCGGGCGGTGTGGGATCTGTGGCTGTAGCCTTGTCCTGGCTGGGCTTCCTTTCGCCTCGTTGCTGGGGTGTGCTGCCTACCCCTTGCGGCCCTTGCGGAGTCCTTACAATCCTAAACATCCGTTGCCAGAGTCATCATACCCCCGATCTAGAAAAGGCAGTGTCCCCAAAGGGCAACATGGGTTGTGACTCACGTCGAAGCAGGATATTACGATGTGATGCGATCTGCGGTGGCGCACCACTCCCAAAACTCTAGCCTGGTGCTATCGCCATGCTGGCACATCGTTAATTCTGTCTTTCTCATGTCATCGGATGATGGGCGCAGGACCCAGCCCGCATCCATCCTATCATTTTGCTTCGTGTATGCCACTCCTGGAGTTTAGTGTGCTGTCATCACTTCATAAGTAGGGCGTCTAGGGCGTGGGGTTGTGGTAACATCTTTAGGACGTTTAAGAATAAGATGAATGCAACCATTTTTCTGCATGACCTACATGCCTGCGAACCCTGTTTCCCCTTTGCCCGTCAGCAACCTCCGCCCGTCCGGTACTATCTACCCATCTGTCCGACCTCCCCAACGACATTTTTCTAAACTTCTTGATGTTTGTAGCCATCTATCTATCTATCCATCTATCTGTCTGCCTAATCTGTCTATCTATCTGTCTATCTATCCATCTATCTATCTGTCTATCTACCTATCTGTCTATCTTTCTATCTATCTCAGCAACCTCCGCCCGTCAGTTACACTCGAAACGAGCCTTTGCAGAACGATGCGACATGTTGTTTGCCATTCTCGGCAGAAGCCAGTGATATGACCGAGCCCCTTTGGCTCCTCCTGCGGGCACCAGGTAAAGTGCCGCCCTTGGTTTTGTGTCCCGCCATCGCTGGCAGCGGAGCAGGTGACGATCCAGGGCAGTGGCGGCCGTGCTTTGTGGAGCTCCAGGTTGCGACCCTTTTGTCATCGGTGAGTTTTTTGGATTGTTTTGGGGAAGATCCCTCTGTCGAGGGCTTGGGTCATTGTGTGACCTGCGGGAGGGGCCATGCGGTCCTACTATGAGTCGTTCGGCGAGACGGTTGTGAGTGATTCGAATGGGGAATCTGAGCAGCTGGATGATGACGGCTGTGGCTGGGACAGGTGAGCGGGGCGTCGCTCTCCAGACAATGCCGGCACGGGAGGCATTTCTAGTGCCTCCAGGGACCGCAGTGAAGAGCCGCGGTGGACCCGCGGCAGCAGGGGATCCACCCTCCTCAGGCCTGCAAGGGTGGTCGGCACAGGTACATAGCGACGCACGTAACGATAGAGAACGACATACAAACAAAAATGTATCACTAGATACTAGCATTGCCCGCATTATCGCCATCAAACCAAACTACGACACAGAGAAGTACATAGGAATAACGTCTCAAGCCCAGGACTGACAAGCCAAGGTTTTAAAAGCTAGCCCCAGGACAAGAACGAAGATATTAAAAGCGAAACATGAATGCTGGATAATCTGTTGCATGGCAGTGCATTGTGTGGCACAGCCGAGGAAAATTTGGAGGATAGGGAAGTGGGATGGACAGTACCTGACGGGCGGAGGTTGCTGACAGATGGAGGTATCAGACGGAGATAGATGTAGTCTGACAGGCCGAAACCTCTAACCATCTCTAACGTCCAACCAGTATCTGACGGGAGTTAGAGTAAGAGGTTATGTGAGGTACATCTTCAGTGCGTCTCTAGAAAAGTCGCCTGCATGCGATGATTCCCTACTTAGCCTCCCATTGTGCTACTCCGACACTGCCGAACATCCATCTTCTTCGTCAGCAAGGATGGCTGAAACCAGTGCACGATGAGATTAGGACCTTCCAAGCAGGCAGGCAGAGGCAGACAGGCAGAGGCAGGCTGGCAGGCAGACTCGTGCCGCGGTTGACGGCAGCTTCGCAGGGGGAGACAAGCCATATCTCGCAGCAAGTCTCTGGCGATGAAACATGGTGAGATTCTGGGGGCCGAGCAGAACATCCGGAGCTGCCAGAAATTGTGGCACCTTTGCTTCACCACGCACTGTCTTGCAAATTCAGCCTCTCAGGCTGTCAGGGATCCTGTAAGCCGAAGACCAAGCTTGACATGAGCTGCCCAAGTGGGGAGGACGAGAATCGTCGGCGAAGCAACTCTCGTCGAAGCCTGCCCGCCAAGGCCCAGCTCGACTGACACGTGTCGACCTTGCCGTCCTGCTTCGACGCTGCTCATGTCTTCGCAGCCTGTCCGTTTCTTTCGTGTTTTTTGCTTGTCGCAGAACAGCGCAACAGGCAGGTTCTGCTTGTGCCGTAGCTCTGCAATCTGGAGATTGAGCTCCTCTCGAAAGAAAGCAGCACCTTGACCGGAGAACAGGTGGAGACTCGAAAGTCCTCCACTCTTTGACGTTCTTCTACCTCTGCGAGAAGATCTCACCAGCATACAACTCAAATCACTCCGGGCGCTGCACTTCAAGGATATCCAACTCCAAATCATTCAGTGCATGCACGACCACAGATGGAGAGCACCTGAACCACGGCCAACATCATCCACTTAGTCACTTTCACACAAGTCTCAGGACTACCTTCCCGCCGCCAGCACAGCAGGAATAACACAAATCGAGGCACTCAGCGCTTGTCTTGAGAGCTGACTTGCCACTGGCTTCACAAACCTTGTTACGCAATAAACTAAATTACGAATCACAGGCTTCGAAAATGGCAACACAGCAGAACACAGGACCATTGCTGAGTGTCCGACATCTGAGAATTCAGCTGCAATCATTCATACAAGCAATGAATGAGTATACATAGCCTAACAAGAATAAAGAGTAGAGTTTGATGGGATAGACTGCCAAATTTCAACCGATGCAAATCAACAAATGCAACTCTGCAAGACTTCCTCGAACTTGGACTGGACAGAAACAGCTTCGGCAAAAGTGTGTAGGTGTGCGTATTGATATTACGTATTTTTCTCTATATACTACTTCGTGCTTCTGACATACACATGTGCCTGCGCACCTGCTCTCTGCTCTGCGGCGCATCACGGCAGACTTTTTGGTGGCCACTGGAAAATGCGAAAGTCATGAGGCCGTCAGCCGCCTGACATGGGTGCCCCATGCTGGCGGCAGGCACGAGCAAACTGGGCCGGAGGTGCTTTGCGTAGATTCGCAAACTTCGGCGAGATTTTGTCCCGTCTGGCCCCGAGGCCCAGCCGAGACTCGGCACAAAGACCACCCGCCTCCAGAACAGGACCAGAAGAAGGCAAAAGAATGCAACAAAGACTGTCTCCTCCCGCTAAGGATTGGCCTGCCAGCGGACCTGGGCTTCGCATCATGACAGCTCGGTTGGCCGTTGACCAGCCAAGCTGCTTGGATAGTACGGGGACTGATGCAATGGATTTCAGCGTTGCGTGAACGCTAGCGATGTTATCTGCAAACCTCGGCAGAACGCGAGGCAACATGATGCAACATGCTCGTTACATTGATCCTACACTCTCTCATTGGCCCAAACTTATGTTCCAAGAAGCACATGTATGGACGTCGCACCTCGCTTGTGGATCTCAGCTCCGATAGCCGCTGAAAGTCGTGAGACCTGCGATGAATTGCGCTAAGGGCCAAGAGGGAGGCGTGCAGGCCATGGGCTATGGGTATGGCTTCCCGCTCATGCCAGAGCTGCCTGCGGTTGGTCCCCAGCTTTGAGAAGGGCTGTCTTCTGGAAGTCCGTCTTGTTGAAATCCCTCGGCGTTCCAGCTGCCGCTCCGTGCCCGCATTCATGACCAGAGCCCAGAGCACCAGTTGCAGCAGAGAGTCTGCCAGGATTTTCCAGTGGTAGCGATCAGTTGAATGGCTCGGCCGCCAGCTTCGCCATTTTGCCAGTCAACCCAACTTGCCTTGCTTCGACTTTCTGGCAGGAAACGACATCGGGAAGCAAAAGGAGCACCTCCACTTCTGCAGTGACAAGACCCTTCAGGGCGAGAGCTTCCAAGGCGTGCCAGGCCTTGATTATCCAGACTGCGTTGAAGAGGTCACGGGTCGACGGGTCGAGTGGGTGAGTCCGCGGCTGCGTGCGGACCACGGCACTGCATCGCAACACAGGTCCCAGGCTGCAGCCTCGCATGGACAGTGTTCCGGAAGACCCTCTTGTCTTCCTGCAGGCAGATGATCAGATCCGACATGAACAGCTAAGCAGGCTGCAGTCCTCAGAAGCAGCAGACCCAGGCGGGTAGGCTATGAAGCTTCCCTCGACCATCTTGGCCGCCGGATCCTTACATTTGTATGGAATCGCTCTTGCCACAAGGAAGCCACTGTTGCTGAGTTGGGCACCAGCCAAGCCCTCGGAGTACGTGCGTGCACGATAAGGCGGGTGGCGGAGTCACCGTCCACGGCAGCAGCCTTCGACTCTGCAACTGGAAAGAAGCCTTCTGTTTACCGGTGCAGCTCAGGCTCCGTGCAGACAAGGGCATGGTCCTGTAGACCAAAGTAGTAAAGGCTTTCTAGGTTGTGCAGACGCCAACAGCTCTTACGGGCGCCTTCGCAGCCAGACCGGGCACTGCTGCCAGGGCCTCAGCCGGAACCGTCAAGAAGCAGAAGAGTGGCCAAAAGTGCAGGCCCGCAGTGCCTGGAGGATTGTCAGGGCTGCTGGGAGCGCCTCCAACGACCCAAGGCCCAACACCATGTCGATAGGGGACGGAGAACATCCGAGGCTTCAGCATCTACGAAGGTATGCACGGCAACCTCCGATGCAACAGCGAGCAACAAATAGTGTGCGGACGAAAGCATCGCGCTTGAGTCAAGACTCTGCGGATTTTTCTCGGAGATCCATCTCTAGCTTTCGGGCAAGCTTCCATCCTTGCCTCAGCCACAATACTATGTAAAGCGGATATTCAATCTTAAACGGCAACAGTGCAAGTGTATCGGGCAAAAACACCGGGAAGCGCGAGTCACTGTCTAAGCGGATTCCATCGAGAACTTGCCAGGTAGCGTCGATCTGCTGACAAAGCATCCGGTATACCTGGCAGTGACGAAAGTCCGACTCTCAACGGCACCTTGCCGTAGAGCTGCTTCGGTACCCGTGGACCCGTGGGTGGAGGCCGGAGCCAACCCATGTGGGTTGGTGGAGCTGTCTCACTGGCCGCACGCAGAGTCGTCTTCATTATCACATGCATCCCTCTCAGGAAGGCCAAACAAAGGCCAGAAGCTCAAACTCCTGCAGGACCACAGCATCATCTGTTTAGGCTAGCATGATATCAACCGGAATTCCTCCGAGTCACCCATCTATGCGATTTGAGCATGCAGTCTGACTGTTACTCGATCTTCACACAGGACCACGACGGTGCACCCGAAGCAAATATCCACGTTCGCACAACGAACAACGTCGCAAGCTGAGATGCCAGTCTTTGCTGACGTCCACCCATTCCGGCCCACTCCGCGCCAAAACACGCAGAGACCGATTATCCTCTTCTGCCGCATGCGGCGCGAAGTGAACCTGCACGTTTCAATGGATGAAATCAGTCTTGCACAGCACACCAGACAGCAGAGACCTCGAACTCAGCTGATCTCTTTCCGATGCACAGTGCCCTGAGGAGGTGCCACGCAGCCTGCTCTCCATTCGCTGCGCTCAAGTTCAAGGCTTGCAGCGAATGCCTCTCGCACCAAAGCGGGACTAGGCCTCTGATGACCGCGGAAGCAGCTCCACGGTGGCTCCAGCTTCCAGCTCCTGACTAGCCAAACCCAAACGCTTGTGTATGTCCTGTTGAAAAGAGCGGGTCGTCCTGCGACACCAAACTTGCAAACTTCTCTGCACCACCTCAGTCCACGAAACTGCCCAGCGATCGGCGAATCATGGCCAATCTCTGCCCTTTCGATTCGTGGCTTCTGGCCCGTGTCGTTGCATTGGCATTAAATTAGCAAAGCTGCTTTGTGAAGCATTCGCAGCTGGTAGGTCCAAACGTCGGTGGCTTTGTGAATCCTGCATTGTCATCAAAACCCTTTGCCCGGTTTACCCCGTTTCTCACACCCCTGGACATGACAACATGCTCCTGCCATCGTAAAGCCACCAAGCAAGGTTCAACACAGATCGCTAGCAAACCTGCTTGCTCAACTCGAGCGCAAGGACTCTTGAAAATGAATCAGACAGCCCCGGCATCCTGCTTTGCGGCAACATGTGCATCAGCCAATGCGCGGCTTTGCAAACAGAAAGGACGCGACCTGCAAATGGCTTCGCAGTCTTGCGAAGAGTGGTCTCAACTTGTCAACGCAACGCGCCTGCGAAGGATGGGTCTGGCTAACTTTGGCCAGTAACACGAGCATCTGCACATGGCGCAAAGCATGGATGACAAAGCTCCTGAACCTGGAACCAACAAAGATGTTCTAATCGACCTATGCATGTCAACATATTCCGAGTGAAAATGAAAAGCAGCTTGGTCGAAAAGGCTGGCCTGATGGCTGAAAATACTCCGGAATACAACTTGGCAGTGGTAGTGCATGTGAGCAGGTCGCAAGCCGATCAGGCAATACTCGCCTCGGCCCCGGTCGGAGATTCCCTCTCTCGCTTCTCTCCCCAGTAACCCAACCTGGGCCACTTACCCCACCCAACAAGAAAACTAATCTTTGGCTTCCATGCAGAGCGGCCCGCCGGCCACACCTTCGGCCCCGTCCCTGCTCCCACCCGACAACCTCGACCCCCCCACCCGGGGTGGTCGTCTTACGTGGCCCTGCACTTGCGATCGCCATGCGGACGTTGCCAAGCATTTACAGTTTACAGTTGTCCATTCAGCTCGAGGACGACATCCCTTGAAACCACAGACACGCAACGGAAATCAATTCCTGGTCGGCACAGTGTTTGACTCTGTTTGTGATGGGCTCGCTTTGTCCTAGCGCAGGCCAAGCTGAACCGTTACTGAGCTTTGATGATCGCCCCTGAACAAGGCTCGCACCATGCAAAAGCCAGACTCGTGAGGTGCCTGTTTTGCCCCTCTTTGATGGCAAAGTCATATTCGTTAATCATTATTGCTTGAGATGCTATGCGTCCTCCTGGGATGAGAAACTGCCAAGATCCGATTGCTAAACATTGAAACTTAGCAGCTACAGCAAGAAGCTGATAGCTCCAGTAACAGGACGCTGCCGAGCGAGCACTTCAGAGTGCGGTCGCAAATTTGGGCGCGGGATTCAGTCTTTATATTGTGCCTGCGAGCGTTTGTCAGGGATGTTCCCTGGTCCACGACGCCCGCAAAGCCCCCTCCCCTTCCCATGCACTGCATTAGCATGCAGTGGAACGCCCTACAAATTGAGGGCTGGGCCCTCCGGAATGCTGAGCATCCGCATGCATTAATTTTCGATCTAAGTGCTTCTCCGGCCCCTGCGGTGACCCTCCTGGCTTGAGACCGATAGGTTACACTTGAGAAAAAAGAGTTCTGTACCACACCACTTTCACCGCAGCACCAGTCTTTACAGCAGGTCAGGATCCCGTACTTCTCGTCTTCTGGAGCCTGAGCCAAGACCTCATTTCTGCGGTTCCCACTCCTGCTTTCACGACTGTCGTGAGAACTTGGAAAGTGACCAATTTGTTAGCAAATCATATCGAAGCGAAGCATCCTGCCATTAGCAAACCTTGCAGGACCAGCAGATCGTCTCGAATTCTTAAGCCACAGAGCCGTTTATAATGAAGATTGTGGACCCTGCCTTCACCGCCTGGGCTAAGCGATGTCCCTTGTAGGGCACGGCAGCCTTCCAAAGAGCCTTAGAAGAGCAGAACTCACGCAATTTCATCTGTAGGGAGGGAAGAGGGCAGCAGAGCGATCGTTGCCTTCGCCTCGTCCCCCGCTCCGAGGTCCTTCCGTGGGTGCAAAACATGCTTCGGTGCTTTGACGATTTGGGCCCGTGCAGTGCCTCCTGGTGGATGTGTCTAGGGACAGCCACCTGCAGGGGACCAGCATGGGAAACTGAATGCCGCGGCCAGCAGCAAAAGGAGCAAGCCTGAAGTTTCTCTCTATCACGGGGACCTGGTCGTTTTGCATTTTTCTATCTGCTTCACCGAACATTCCATGCCATAACGATTTCCTGGGCGTCGGGCTGAATGGAATATCCTCCCATGCACCAGGCGCCGTCGTGTACAGCAGCCGTCCGCTCCATCCATCCTTCTTCACGAGATCAACGCACATACACTAGACTCACAGACCCAGGCAGAGCTCACAAGCCTGTCTCAGGAAGGCGAGCGTTTGACGAAGGCGTTCAAGTGGAACCTTGCCGTCTGCCTGCTTCGGGCAGACGACCCCAAGTCCGCTACAAGACCCCGCAACGCCTTCCAGGAGACCAGGGCTTTCAACATTAGCCGCAGGATTCCTCGCAGCCTCACAGTACAGCTTGTCCAAAATACATGTGGTTCGCAGTCAGCCCACTTCATCTAAGAATTGGACAACGACTGTTGGGGCATGTGCGTCATCTCCTTAGACTAGCAAGCTGGTATGATTCTCCGGTGTTTCTAGGCTCCCTGCAGCTTTCGTGCTGATGTGAAACTACGCTTCTGCAGCAAAGGCCGAGAGTCGTTTACTGACAAAATAGCCGTGGTCTTGTTGCTAGGGGGCACATAGCTCCTGCGAAAGACTCACTCCCCTCGCTCGTCCTACTTTGCAATTCAAGATTGATCTGCATTCACCTCGTCTCAGCAACGTACTCTTCCATGCTGAGGTTTCCCCTGCAAGCTCACGTAGCACATCCACACAAGGCCGTGCATGCGATAGCACATTGATGGCATATGGCCAGCCTGAAGTTGTCATTCCCTCCAATGAGTAGAAAGCTGACAGCTGCGTCTGGCCAATAAACTGGAGTTGGCAAGTTCATGGCCTCGTCATGCACACTATACGACTCCGTCACGCGGCAAAGCGTAAATCTCAGGCAGCATCGCATCCGCCATTGATAACAACTGCCTCTGGAAAGCGAAACAGCAAAACGAGCTCATCATGCCGGGCACGTAAAAGCTGGGATGGTGACTGGAGGCACAGGGGGAACCAAGCCCTGCGCCTGCTCTGCACAGCTGCACAATGCAACATAGCGCTGCTTACACAATGGGACTCTGCGGGGCCTCTGCCTGCCACATCTGCGGGAGTACCTCAGAAAGAAATCCGATTCGCAGCGAAGGAGTTCGCCTCCCGCGTGAAGATCAGGGTCAGGGCCACCTGTCCCCCGCGGGATCCAAAGATCATGACCTGAGCGTTCCGGTGGGCGCCCGTCTCCAGCACCTGCATTTGTGACCATAAGCTGCGGCCGAATTCTGCAATGACAATGGCTGTCCTCCTCAGCGAAGCTCTGCAGATTGGGTGCTGGCGCGCCTTGAGGCCAACATGGCCTTAGATGCCATCCAAACGCGTCTGCGGCAGTCGCAGGAGTAAAGAAGTTACTATGCCAAGCGTCGGATACACATCGTAAGGTGCCCTGGAGCGCCCAATGACATCTACCTTCCACCATGCCACCACTTCGCCGACAAACCCCTCACAGCGCACAGTCGGGTCTTGCCTTGAACGACGGGCTGCAGGCTATCTCGGAGTAAACTGCACCGTTGATGCCTGTGCCGGCACCTCTTACCAGCCACGCGATCAAGCCGGGATTCGCGAATCTATGGGACACATGACGGACACATGCTGATTTATGAAACCCTCAATCCGACTTACTCGCACCCACCCAAAGCCTGGCGCCACGACAGCCACTGCGACTTTTGTGGTAGCGATTGGCTTGGCTCTGACCTCCTGCACGGGTTAAGGATGAGAAGTCAAACAGCGCGAAAACTGCAAGACTTCGTACCCGCACAGTTTTACTTACACAAATCCGTCCTGTTTCCTTGACGTGCACATTGGCGACGCTGAGAATGAGACTGGCGAAGGGTGGCCAGTCTTCAACAGCGCAAACAGGCGCTGCTCCTTGCGGTTCCATAAACCACCAGTAATCAAAGGAAAAGATCGTTAAGCTCTCGACGGCCGAGCTGACCCAATCCCGGTGGCCAACCAAAGGAGATAGATGGAAAGCTGGCATGGCCTCGGCTGCTCGAAATCCAATCTGGCCAGCAAATTCTGTGCACTCGTGCCCTTCCCTGCCTCAAATCTCCTTGCCAACCCGTATGCAAAACTGAATATTACAATTACGTTCTGATGACCGTGCATGCTTGCTAATACACGCCAGCCTGTGATGCTGTTTGCTTTGCAACTACCTACCTCGTCCCATGCTATCACCGGTGGCATCTCCATGTCTGGCCAACTCATCAATGAGCCAATGCCAAGTTTTCATGTTGAGTTGCTTTGGAGATAACTAAGCAAAACGATACTTCGCCCCCACATGCTGTAGAGGCAGCCCCACAAGTCAAAAGTTTTAAAACCGTGATCCTGCTGCTTCGTGCCTGTGAGCACTTCTACATGTTGCTAGCAATGCTCAAGCACTGCTTGCCGACCGTGCTGGATCTGTAGGATGCAGATAAAAGAGGGACCGAACGTGTTCAGGTAGCAAGCATCGGCAAAAACTTCCGCCATCACAAAAAGTTGTCAAAGGTTTCTCATTCCATACGAACGCATTTTTTCGGACCAACCATTGAAAACGACATGGTCACACTCCACTCTGTGTTATTACAATCTTTGTCATGTCCAATGTTGATTGTTCACCACTGAGGCACACAAGCAAGGTGTCTTCGGTTTCGCACGAGTAACTCAAACGTGCTAACCACCACAACAATAATGGGCATCACATCTCCCAAAGTTGGGTGCGTGGGTGGGCGAAAATTTTATCATTCACATGCTTTGGCATGCCAACATTTGTGACACGAAAAAAAGGAAATCAACTCTCAAACGGATTTGCGAAAGCGAGAAATTGCAAAAAACGCAACGGTCTGGAAATTTACCAACGAGACTCGTTTGAACTGCTCAAAAAAGCTGTTTGTCATGTTTCCAGCAGTCAGTTTGCCTTCAAGATGGTCAAACCTTTTTTTGATTCCGGAGGTGGGATTGCAAACAAAAAAATGACGATTCCATATTGCGCGCAAGCTTTTTTGTTCCTGCAAAGCCATCAAGACAACCACTCCAAAAGAGGCAAAAATCAGTTCAGAAGCCAAGCATCGGAGTGGTGTGGTCAATAAATTGGGATGCTGCTGCGTGGAGCTTCTCCGAATTTCTGTGAGCCACAAGCTACAAGTGCAATTCCCAAAAAGGGAAGAGGCAGCCAACAGCCTTTGCCAGACCAAACTCCGGGGCACGTCTGTGCGCAGGTCTGTAACGCTTCAGAACGGGCTTGTTTCTCCAAATGAACTTGACGCACCGACCTGCTCGGAACTGAAAAACGCCTCCACCAAAACAAGTGCGAGGTGCAGTTCAACTTCCGATCCTGGAAGAGCAAAACACTGCAGAAACCGATTACCTGAGCAAATTATTTAATCGACTCATCGGAATGGAGTTGAATCGACTTCTCGGAAGCAGTTATGCTGGACAGTTCCAGTCGATCGATTCCTGCCATTGCCTTTGCCTCAGATATTTGTCATCAGTTCTAGATGCGCCAGAGACAGCAGAATAATTGGTGTCCAGATTATTTTCTTCTTGCAGAGACAAGATCAGAGAACAGAGTGAACACATTCGATGTGCCAACAAACTGCACCAAGACGACAGAACTAGGGTCACTGATCGATTGCCAAAGCTCCTTCCACCATGCTTCGTGAAAAGGATCGAGGCAAGATCAAATCCTCAAAATTTAGAGCCACAAAGTGTTTGTCGCCTGCAAATCCTGCTGAAGAGGCGATGCAAGAGGGTGGAATCTAAAGTCATCAGCTTTTTGAATTGGCCAGGGCCCAAGTGAACCCGGTCGGTTGGCAGATCATTATGAGAGACCAGCTCAGAGCTGCCATTGCTTGGAGCTTCGCAGTCGCTTCAGAATGGAGATTCACACTGATACGAGCCGAATCATGATTTGCTGAACGACTCTTGCCGGCTAACCTGTCGGTCGCAGCACTTTTGTTCGTTGTCTTTTGTTTCGTGTCGCTTTTTGTGATTCTTAGGACTGAGTGCGGCAACCACCGTCGATAAGGCTTGATCACGCCAAAAAAATCACCTTTCAATCAATGTTTTTGAAAGAAAATGAAGGCTTTTGCTCTGATCTTCAACCAAGTCTTTTCCCTTCTTTCTTTCTTTCTTTCTGTTGGCCGATGACTCGCCTCTGTCAGGCTCGTGAATTTTTTGATGTGCCTTCTCCAGCTACTTTTCCAGAAATCGAAGAAAAGGTTTGTTTTGAGGCTCCGACTGCAGTGCTGAGTTCTAGAGAAGTTTGCTACCCTGTGGCAAAGTTCGAACACCTGGCCTGCGTCGTTTGGAGTTGGGTGTGACGGACCGCACCAGTCCCGGTCAGAGTGGCAGAGTGGCTCTGTAGTGGAGCACTTCGAATAAACCTGCTTGTTTCTACTTGGAACTATGTATATAAAAAGTTTGTAGCTGTCCTTCTAAACACCGTGTTTGTGCCGTCCAGCTTATGATGTCTCCAGCTTATGATGTCTCCGCTGTAACAGAGGCCCAGGCGTTGGATACAAGGGGCGGAAAGCGGAGATTAGCGTCCGGTTCAAAGTCGGCCGGCGTATGCGAAAATGGCGTGCGAAAAGCTTGCAACTGCTTCCGCAGCGATTGTAGCTAATGGCACTGCTGATTTTATGAAACGGTGGAGGATGCAGATCGCTGTGCAAATCCCGACAACGCTTGACAAGAGCGAGTACACAGTTACATGTCTTGTGACGAGAGTGCTAGGGTCGTCACAACCTGACGGGGTAGTCCAAAAGGATTGGGCGACTGAACGACACGTTACTATAGTTCTTCGAGCGCAATCGATCGCTTCACCCACAACCGTTTCATAGCACGATTCTATTGCGACACTTGCATACATTTTTCAAAAAAAAAATATATATATATATAGACACACATATGTATAGATATATATAAATATACATATATATATATATCACTATATATATATATATCACATATATTTATACATACCTACCACATGTTTGGCCTGTGGTGGCCACCGAGGAGCAGTTCGCCGGAGACGACAAGTAAAGGGACAACGACACACCCGAAAACATGCGTGTCATTGTGTGCACGTGATGAGTTGATGCGCAATTGCATAACCGTGTGAAAGTGGACAGGGTGACAAACGCAGTTTACATGCCAGTTTCGGTAACCGCCGAGAGCGGATGTGTTTTTTTGTAGCTGGATGCGTCTGGCTTACAGCCGAGCACGTCACGTCGATTTTGCGTGGAGACGGATTACCATCCAGCACGTCCGTAACCAAGTCGTTTGCGCGCAACGAATCTGCGCTGCCCGGGGTTGGGATGAGAAAGCTCGCTGCGACGCCTTTCCATTCGTGGGGCCTCCTTTTGTCCTGCTCGGGTCGGGTACCCGGTCACCCGGGTCTCGCCGGGCCCGGCACTGGTTCCCGCCGCCCGTGGCCTTGGAAGGAAACGCATTTTATATATAGTTCGAGCAGATTTATATATAGTTCCTACCACAATTCGCTTGTGGTTTTCCTCTAGCAAGCCCCTTCCCCGCCGCAGCCCGCTCCCCGCCCCACCTGGCACCGCTCCGCGACTCCCGCTCCGCGTTGTTTCTGAACACCTCCCGCCGCTCCTTATTCCGCGCGGCCCAAGGGCCTTCAGTGGCGGGCGTTGTCGGAAGTGCGGGATGCCCTCCAGGCACGAGGTGGGGATGCTCAACCCGATGCGAGAAAGATCGTGCATTGCGAAAGGAAGCTGTAAGTTCAGGCATAAACGAATCGCGAATCCTAAACTATACCATCTGAAAAATCAAGGAACAACCATGGATGTAAATCAGAACAGACGTAGCCTGGAACCGTTCTGAACTATATATTCAGAAATAGTCCGGAACCGCTCGGAACCGTTCCGAACTATATATTTAAAAATAGTCCGGAACCGCTCGGAACCGTTCTGGATTATATAAAACTTGCCCGACCAAATAGACCCAAACAGTCCCAAATAGTCCGGAGGATATATATATATAGTCCGGAACCGTTCTGAACTATATATATTAAAAAATCGTCCGGAACTGCTCGGAACCGTTTTGGATTATACATACAGACAGAGTCCGGAACCGCTCGGAGCCGTTCTGAGCCAGATATAACATAGGGTCTACATTCTTTATCATGACCATATCTTACCACCATGTGAGATTATATCATCTCGTGTGGTATCGCACCATATCAAACCTGTTTTTTGAGTTCATGATAGGGTATAGCAAGATGCTCAGTTATAGACGGTCAGCAGTTTACGCAGTAGAGATGCAGCATATTAGGTCAGGCCCTGCATGTACAATAGTTCCCCGGCCTGGAAACCAACGTTTGTTAGATCGACCTCTTCATTCCAATGTTTAACCAAGAAATCCTACGTCCGAAACCACAGCGTGAATCCTACCTTTACCCTCCGCGGTACCCTTTCTAGCCCTCAGAAAAAAGTCATGGTAGGCCTGGACGGGGGATAACTTGGGGTCATCACCTGGGCTTGGGACGCAGGCACGAAGATAAACCGTACTGCGAGCCGCATCCTTCAATGTGACGCATATATGTTGCGCGAAATCCGAATCCAGCGCTACCAGTTCAGTGTCATCGGCATACATTCATTCGTTGACAATGGTTTTGGTTGGTCAGCGTGTTCTCTGACGGCGTACGACGCGTCTGCAATCAGGATGGGCGACCTTGTGATATTTTTCCCCGGACTTTTCCAGCTGGATCCTTTCAGCTTGCGTCATTCCCAAGCGTACACATTGGGTGGTTTGGACAGGCCGACATTTGCAAATTGGATGCTATCCAGGCTCGGTGTCTCCATCAAAGTCTACGCATCCCACCCTCACTTGTGAGTTGTGTTGCAAACGAACATGTTTAGCGTGCGGTAGACCACGATACACCTAGGTCTGATGTCTCCTGACCTGGACTGATTGCGTGCAAGACAAAATACACAAAATTTGGGTAACATGCGGCAGCAGCCTGCAATCGTATGGCGA